TCGATCAGCAATTGTGAATGCAAAAATTCACCGTTCAACTCTGTTGAACTACGATCCAAAATATCCATGGCCAAAGCTTCTTCGTTTCGGCCGCGATTCTTTTGATCGACTCGAATTATATCGATCAATTCATCTAGTTTGGTGCACACAGCTTTTACCTATAATAGATTAACACTGTAGTATAGAATAGTTAAACAAATAAAATATAATTACATACTTTCTTATATGGTTGGCTCCATTGTAAATTAGCCTCTTTGTCAAAACAATATACGTATATTGACGATACCTGAGCCAATTTTTGCATTTCGGGCACGACAATGCGACCCATTTGACCGCTTACAATCAAGATTGTAAGATCGCCTTGTTGAATATAACAAACATGATCTAAAAAGTCTTCAGGATCGACAAACGTCCGTAATTGATTAATAATGCTTCGTAATTTCTTTTGAGCCGTAATATTTTCTTCATTATTGACTGAAGCATCTAACCAGAATATGCTATACGTTTCCAAATTATCATTGCTGCTAGTTGAATTCATTGAACTGGTCATGTTTGATTATGTTTAGAAAACGTGTATCTCTATATGCATATGTGTATTTATTTTGCGTTTGCAATTCGAATAATCTCGCCTTTTTATTAGACTATTTTTTTATTTGTAACAACCACGTCCGAGAAAAAGTATTTCTCTTACCTCAACTATTTCGTCCTTGTTTTCAAAAAGTTGTTGTTCTTTTGTTCATCTTACTACCTGACAAAAGTAAAAAGAAATAGAAAAAAGCATTATTCTCTTTGATTCTGAGTTGCTCGCACTCAAAACGCTCTATATTTACCTTTGTTGCTTCACTGTCAGGTGAACAGTATTTCGCCGAAAAATTAAATTTCTTCAACCGCGTTTCGTTTGATGCATCTTAACTGCACCGTCTACAGTTGCTTTTTCAGTCAACAATATAACGCACACTTCACATGCCTGGTTTTTTCCAACTTGAGTTGGTGGGGAATTTGATTTTGCGGCAAAATCAAAATGCTTATACCGCAATACCGCAATACCGCAATTGTTATTACGGTATTGCGGTATAGTGGCATTGCGGTATAGCGGCAGTGCGGTATAGTGGTAGCTAGATTTTACATATCCCTTACAGAGACAAAGCG